GCCCCGGGTTACCCCGCCCCGGGGCACCCCACCTCCGCCCAGGGCCCGCTCCCTTGCTCCCGAGGCAGTAAGGTGGCTTCCTCCCTCTACCTTGGCTGGAGCCTTCCCCCTGGGGCAGGGCCGGGGTGGGGGGGGCTCTTGCTGCGCCCCCACTCCATTCGGCTGTGGGGAAATCCGGCCACAACCAAGAAGAGGTCAGTTGGGGGGCCCAGCTGTGCCCAGCTCTCTGCCTCCAATCCCTGGACTCCTCGAAAAAGACCCTGCAGCCCCTGCCGCATCGCAATGGCGGTTCCTTGCAAGGAAGGCCCCAGGCAAATATCCCCCTAGACACGCACACACGCGCACACACACGCACACGCGCGCACACACACACACACACGCACACACACACGCACACGCACACACACAACGGAGAAGGGACATTGCGTGATGTATGTTGGGGGTGGGGGTGCTAATGGGTATCTCACTAGTTACCAGCTTGGTGGGAGAGCTCTTGCTGCCCCACCCAGAACTCCCTAGAGAGAAGGGGCCCTTTTCTGGTTCCCCAAGCTGTCTCTTGGTCCTGTCCAGGAACCTCTCAACCACAGGCCCCATCATGATTGCTGTCCAGAATCCAGCTCTGCCCAGAGGAATTTCTGTGATGATGGAAATGTTCTATATAGCGTTGTCCACTGCAGTGGCCACTAGCCACAGGTGACTATCCAGCACTAGTGTGTGACCCTTAATTTAATTTTAATGTAAATAGCCGTATGTGGTTATCGTATTGGACAGTGGTAGGAGGCGATTGGGGGGGCTGCATACTTCAGGGCCCTGACTCCGACCCTTCATTTTTGCAGTAAGGAAATAAAGCCAGGCAGGCAGGCAAACTCAGAGAACCATGCTCTTGCTTCTGCAGAAGGACTCTGCCCATGCAGGAATGCTGCCCTAAAGGAGCCCTGGGGTCCCACACAGTCCCAAGAGGCTGCCTCTCTAGAGGTGTGAGGTTTGCCGGGATCTGGTCAGGCTACTCAGCGCCTCACCCTTTTTGGTTAAAAGAGGGGTGAGCAGCTACCATGAATAGGGAGAACATCAGTGGCTTCAGGTGGACACTGCCTCTCATTACCCGAGCTAGACATCCCTGCAGACAGCCCAAAGGGTAGAAGTAGGAGAAGACTCCAGCGGGTCCCAAGTCCATGAGATGGAGAGAGCAGAGCGTGTCTGTGCCTGCTAACGTGGCCCCGTGCCAGGGTGTGGGGGGCTCTCTTCGTCACGGTTCGCCTGCATGTGGGAAGGTGGAAAGCCCCCAGGGCCTAAGTCTGATGGGCTGGGTTCCAGTCTTGATTTTTCACGCGTCACTGAGTGACGCAGCCAAATGCCTTCCATTCTCTGAGCCTCAGTTTCCCCACATGTTAAAGGGGAGAGTCAAATCAGACCTCAGGTGTCCACGTTTTTAGGTGACGGTGTCTTGGACTGCACTGCAAATGGCTATTGGTGTGGGGTGAGAATGGGGGGAAGGTTGCTTACTAGGGGTTTGCGGTGCAGGAGAGGCAGGCCTGGCTAGCTCAGCAGCACAGAGCCTGAGCTCAGGGCTTGCCTCCATGAGCTGGGAGCATCTTTCTGATCCACAGCCTACTGTTACAGCATTAGCCTTGGTCCTTGAGGGGCTGGAGGGGGCAAGGGCCTGGCTCTCTGCAAACTTCGCACCCAAGGTTGTGTAAACAACTCCATTTGAGCCCTGCAGACATCAGGTGAATGTTTGTTATTCTGTGCCACATTCCTGTCTGCACAGGATCACGTGGTTGCCCCTCCCTCTGTTTCAGACCCTAGTGGACCCAGGTGCAATAGGGCTGTGAACGTGAAGCCTTTATTCTGTTTGTCCTCAAAGCAGGGAAGAGATGGTGCTTGGGGCAGGACAAGTGTCCAGGAGGAGCTCCTTGCCCTGTCCCCCCACAGGAGGACAGAGCACAGGCAGGGGCGGTCCCAGAGAGGCCTCCAGCTCTGGGCTAGGGCTGCTGGCAGGCCGCCGGGGCAGCAGAGGGCCTCAGTGGGCCAGAGCAAAGCCAATTCGATTGTTACGCCGATCAAATTCTGTGTAGAACTTGCGGATGAAGCTGGCGCCCAGGACCCAGACAGGCCCAGTGGGTGGTGGGACGTCCAGGCCGTGGAGGGCCAGTGTGCACAGGTCATCATTACTGTAGGGGTCCTGGCAGGAAGCACGAGGGTTTCCCCACTGCCCAGCATGTGACCATTCTGCCCTCACCTCGCCTGACTCCAGAGGTCTTCCTCAGCAACATCCCTCCCCCCAACCCCCAACCGGCACCTCCACTGCATGCTGGCCCTTTCAACTCATCATGGATCGCAGCCCTCCTGGGTGCAGGCGCAGTGCTGGCACTGGGCACATGATACAGTAGGCCCAGCACTACCCGCACCAGCTTACTGTCTGGCAGAGCTTCTGATCCTGGTAAGTTATTTAATGTCTCTAAGTCTATTGGGTGTAAAAGGGGATTAGAATACAGGAGCCTAGCATTACTGGGAGCATTGATGAGAAAACGGAGATAAGGAGCTGAGCACAGTGATTCCTAAACTTAGCTGCACATTGGAATCACCTGGGGAGTTTTGAAAACACTGATGCCAAGGTCCCACCCCCAGAGGCTCTGATTTAATAAGTAGGGGATGTGACTTGCTACTGGGACTTTTAAAAGCTCCCAGGTGACTCTAACAGCCAAGTTTGAGAACTGCTGGCCTCGTAGGTAATCTGTCACAATGACTTGTCCCTTTTTGAGGGTTCTTGCCAACCCTTCCTGCCCATCGCCGAGAGGCAGGCTGGAACCTCACCTGTAATACGTAGTCTGCACTGGTGAGTGTGTAGGCTCTGCCTCCGAGGTGGAAAGAGATGTCAGGGAGTGTAGGCACCTCGTTACAGCTCACGACATACTGGGGGAGAGTAAAGGGAGGCCGTTTGAGTGTGGGAGGCCTCTCAGCAGACAGGGCCCTGTGCTTGTAGCCTGCCTCCCGCCCAGCGAGACCCAGCCACACATGAAGAGTGTGAGAGGTGAGGAGGTGAAGGCCTGAAATGGCCTCATTTGGGACCCAGTGCTGGGGTGATTGGGTAGCACTCCCCCACCCCTGGTACCGCCTTTCCAGCTTCTTACTTCATCTGTGCTCAGCTCCTTGGCCCCCAGGGCCTCCATGAGCAGCCTCAGGGAGCTGGTGGGACCTGAGATGTAGGAGGCACCAGTATCCACCACCGCCATGCAGCCCTCCTCACAGAGCAAGGTGGCTGACCTCACAGACACCCTGAGAGAGGCCATGGTCAGACAGACAGACAGACAGACACAGACAAAAGGCTGATGGGGCACCACCAGGCTGTGCATCTTTCCTGAGGGAGGGCAGGTGATGGGAGGCCATGCTTGTGGGCCAGGGATGCAGTGAAGGATGTGTAAGGCAGGAGGAAGAGGAGGAGAGGCACTGCCCCCTCAGCGTGTGCTCAGCGACCCTCCTCCTCCCAGTCGGCCCCTCCCCTCCGTCCCTCACATTTCACTGTTCCCCATTCCTGGACAGAGCAGGCAGAGAGCAGATGTTGGCTGTGCCTTAGGAAGTCGCTGCATTGGAGAGAGGGCAGGATGGCAGTCCCTCCCCCCCCCCCCC